ATCCTGGGACTTCCTGGTGTCTCCACTCCGAGGACTAAGCAGGATTAAGTCAGCCAAGTGTGGCCATCCGGTGAGGCTACGTGAGACTATCTGTCCCCAAAGGACACCTAGCAGCTATTACGGATGGTAACCCTCGGGAGCTAGCCTTTCTCCAAGAACACTCTGCGGCAGACTTGAAACTTGCCCAAAGGTTTCCAAGAGAGATTGCAACACGAAGTCAGAGCACTGGAATAAATTAGCAAACTGAACGCTGTGGAAATTGGTCTCAACACATCCTGGGTGTGGGAGCTCACTAAAGAAAGCCATTGTCTCTCTTGCGGTGCTTGTCTACATGATTGATCTCACTCTGCCTATTCACCAGCGCTACTGCCTGGAGTGGATGCCACCTACACGGACTGAGTCTTGCACATTATCTCCTGCAGAAGGTACTTGTAATGGCATAGTCCATTGCTTGACCTTTTCACCTCAGAGGGTGAATTTTCCCCTCCTCCTCCTCCTCATGCCCTTTCTCCTCTTCCTCTTCTTCTTCCCTCCTTCTGCTTCTCCTTCTCCTTCTCCTTCTGCTTCTGCTTCTGCTTCTGCTTCTGCTTCTCCTCCTCCTCCTCCCCTTTCTCCTCTTCCTCTTCCCTCCTTCTGCTTCTCCTTCTCCTTCTGCTTCTGCTTCTCCTCCTCATGTCCTTCCTGCTGCTGCCCTTTCTTCTCCTTCTCCTTCTCCTTCTCCTTCTCCTTCTCCTTCTCCTTCTCCTTCTCCTTCTTTCTCGAAATTGTAAGCATCAAGCTGAACTGTAACAAAACAAACAAACTTTTCCATTTCACTAGGATTCACACCCATATTCTGATCCCTGGACAAGGATCAGAGAAGAGTTTGTGGCCTTAAAATCGGTCATCAGATCCCTTATGTAACAACATCTCTGTGATGAGATTCTAATGCTACTTTCTACGGAATTTGGAAGTCCCACCCTGCAAATCAGGGGTAACTGCAGGGGAGGGGGCTCAGAACAAATCAAGATGGCAGCCACAACCGTGCAATCAAAGCCCCACCCCTTTCTTACATGCCCCTGCTACAAACGTCAGAGTTTCTTTAGCAATGCAGTTCGTTGAGACTGCACTTGGGGTGCAATGTAGCTCGTGAAGTCCTCCAAGGGCACGAGTTCCATTGGCTTCAGGTAGTGGACAGCGTGTTAGAGAATCAATTTGGGGATCTACACTTGGGCATTTTTCCCTTAAAATCCCTCTAATCCCCCAAGTGCAAAAAATGTGGGAGTTGCTACTAATTTTTACGAACCTGATCTAATTGCCCAGCAAGGAAAATTGGGCACTAACTCTGAATCTATGTGAGAGACCCATTCTTCTGGACATACCCCATGTATTTTGGCCACTTTTAATTGTCAGAATTAGAAGGACATCATGGAGCAGCACGATAGGGAAGAGCTCTACCAGTCGGTTTCCCTGGGAGCTAAGTCCCCATTCTTTATTCCATGGCAAGGTATGAGCCACAATTAGTTCATAATGTAAATTGATTGATTAATCATGAGGTGATGATTACGTTGACGATGGTAATTGCTGCAAAAGAAAAATAATAATTCAGTGGAGTTACATTGATTGCACATCCAGCAGCAGAACTAGGTCACTTAAAGATTCACGCCAAGAACGTCTTTCCTCGGCTCTTCTTCCTCTTCCTTCCCTCCGGCAGTTTTATCATTTCTAACCTTCCAGCGTCATCTAGACATTTCTGTCCTCCTGTGGGTTTTTTTTCCTGCTCCAATACATCAATCCAGATTAGCAGGCTTACCGGCTGTCACTTCCCTTCAATGCATCTACAGCACCCTAAAGACCCCTTGACTTCTTGCAGAAATACCGAGTCTTCCCAGCCAAGCCAGTCTTGTTTGCTTCAGAGATCTCTTTTGCTGAGTTGGTGCTTCTCTGCACCTTCTGCTCAGATTGCCCCAAGCAAGTTGGTCTTTTCCATAATTGCCAGGGCTAAAAAGTGGGACATCTGATAAGATCTTGTTTTCATTTTATCCAGGATTAATTATCCACAAGGTTTCCCTCCCATTTTTCTCATTGGCACATGCCTCCATGGCACAGAGAATGAGGCACTCAGAACTCTGACGTGAGTTCAGATGGAAATGAAGAACAACTCAAGATCTGCAGTGAAGTCTGAGTTGGAGATGGGAGTTTAAACCATGATTGTTTAGAGAACTTCAGGGGGCCCAAAGGCTTGCTTCCTCTTCAGAGGACCTGGGCAAGAACCTTACATGAACCCTCTCTGAGGACACACATCCAACATGAAATGGGTGGTGAAGGAACTATGAGTGGTGAGACATTTCTCTCTCTCCCTTTCTCCTCTTTTCTCTCTCTGAACATGATAAAACTTGGAGCTCCATCCGACTAAGTAGATTGGCAGCTGATTCTGTTCAGGTTGAGAGAGTTTGGAAGCACTTGATTCTTAGATATAGAAACTTTTCCCTGGAACCTCTCTAGATATTCTTTGAAAATAGGCACTGCACATTTAGTTTCATTTTTCTGACTGTGATGATCCTTGTTTTGGTGGTAGCTTTAAGGGTGAATAGCAAGGCTGGTTGTCTTATTACCCCATTGATTTTCCCATCAAAAGATTTCCTTTATGTTATCGTTTCTTAAAATCAGTTTGTTGTGCATTCAGTGAGGCTGAAGAGCAACTTCCTTCAATTTCCTAATTTGGGGATCCTTCTAATATGGGGGGGGGCACTTGAGGTTCTGAACCAGTGCTGGAGGGAGGACAATGAAAGGAATGAAGGCTAATAAACCAGAGTGGGCAAGATGAGGAAGAGATTCTGTTTGCAAATGATTAATCTGCAATTAATTTATGTTAATCCTGCTCCGGAAGAGATGGCATTCTCTTTAAAGGAGGGTTGAGTTAATCCTTTGGGAGAAGGTGGGGGTGGCAGTGATGCTGTGTGAACAGGGTGGTGGCCTACACAATGACGAAGCTGGGCTTTTCTGCTTTTGCTGTGGAGATTTTGGTCTGGAAAGTTGGCTGTGTTTCTTTATTGGTTTTTCTGAACTATGTGGAAGACTTTAATGTGTGCTCCATCACCAAAGGGTAAGGAACCAAGATGCTGATTTTTACCAGCTCTGGTTGGGGTGGACTCCAGAGGTGACCAGAGAAGGCTGCGGACTCTTCTCTGCCCTGGAGGCCCCATCTGGGCGTACTTGTGAATCCAGTCATGGCACTGGAGACCAAGGGGGGCTCTGAGACTAGACGGGTATGGTGATCATGATTCTAGCAATATTTTATCATATTTATTGTTTTATCCTATTTATCTGCTCCTGCTCATCTTGAGTTTCGGACGACGCAACAGCTCCCATGCTAGGCTGCCTTGGAAAATGGTCCAGAGACTTCTGATAGTTCGAAAAGGGTTTGCTAGATTGGAGGACCTAATCACACGATGCAGAGAGGACCTTGATGAAGGAATGCAGGAGCCGTTAAGGGAGGAGAAACAAGACCTCGGTCCTGGGGAAGGCGAAGGAGGGAACTTCTGGTAGTTCGAAAAGGGTTTGCTAGATTGGAGGACCTAATCACACAATGCAGAGAGGACCTTGATGAAGGAATGCAGGAGCCGTTAAGGGAGGAGAAACAAGACCTCGGTCCTGGGGAAGGCGAAGGAGGGAGAGAAACACTCAGAGTAATGCCACCTTGATTGTTTGGTTATAAGGGCAGGGGGCAAACTCTCGCAGGGTTTCAAGATTTTGTTATTATACCCTACAACACTGAAGTGGCACTCCTGGAATCCTGGTGGGGTCTGTTCCCTGCCCAGGCTTATCTTGAAGGGCTGGTGTCATGCCAAGGTTTGGCCATCTGCATTGGTAACTGTTTTCTTTCTGCCCCAGTTTAAAGTGCTGATATCTACCTATAAGCCTGACATGGCTTGGGGTTAGGGGATATCTCCTCCACATTAACTTGGTAGGATGCTAAGATCTTTCCTCAAGTTCTCTCCTAATGAGGCAAGACAGGAAGCTAGAAGGGAAAACACTTTTCCAATCCTATCTGCTTAAGGTGGCCCCAGAGAGCTCACCAGGGTGTCTTATGGTCTACCTGGCACGAAGGGAAGACTTTTCATATTCCTAGACATTTTAAAAATGGTTCTCATGGTTTAGAATGGCAAAAGCGTGTGCTTTTTTATTACTCTGACTTCATGCGCCATTTATTGTTACTTAAATTTTTACCTTATTTTGCCCATTCTCTATGCTGGTTTGGAGACTGGGTTCAGCACAAGCTGGACAACCTTCTGCCAGGGATGTTCTGATTTGGATAGGAGACCTCTTGGCCTGGAAGTGCAAAAACATTCTGGAAGACGACGACAAACCACTTTTTGTACACACTCGTTGGTTCACGGACATTCATGCGTCCATGAAGTCACCAAGAATCATGTTTTTTCAATACTTATTTTTATTGCCTTAATATAATGAACAAACAAAACATGTACAAAGAGAGCTAAAATGGTAACTACAAAAAAAAATACAACAAATGATTGTATTATGTTTAAACAAGTTAAATCTTCACCTCACAGAATCATATTGCCCTGTCCTTCCAGTGCACCAATAAGGAGTCAGTTCAAAGGCATATTTGATCCTCAGCCTTTGGTATCTGGTGTACAAGTTTCTTTCCAAGAATCCTTTTTTCCTTTTTTGAAAGAATCCAAACATGATAAATCCAAAGTTCTCCAAAAGTTTCTTTCCAAGAATCCTTTTTTCCTTTTTTGAAAGAATCCAAACATGATAAATCCAAAGTTCTCCAAAAGTTTCTTTCCAAGAATCCTTTTTTCCTTTTTTGAAAGAATCCAAACATGATAAATCCAAAGTTCTCCAAAAGTTTCTTTCCAAGAATCCTTTTTTCCTTTTTTGAAAGAATCCAAACATGATAAATCCAAAGTTCTCCAAAAGTTTCTTTCCAAGAATCCTTTTTTCCTTTTTTGAAAGAATCCAAACATGATAAATCCAAAGTTCTCCAAAAGTTTCTTTCCAAGAATCCTTTTTTCCTTTTTTGAAAGAATCCAAACATGATAAATCCAAAGTTCTCCAAAAACTGACAAACTTCAATGTTAGGAATATAGTTGAGTATCTTCAAATCTTAAGTCCCTTGCTAAAATATTCACAATAGCATTATAAGTCAACCCACATATAATCCCCAGAGAGTATGATCAGATTGTGTGTGTGTTAGCATACTTTTAAATTGATTGAATGTGCAAGATAAACAAGTAATTAACCAACTATTTTTAAACATTTGCTGGAGGGGCCAACAAAATTTTCTGAATTCCTCTCTTATGATTGAAAGAAACAGACACTTTTTGAAACCTGATGACTTGTTTGAATTGAATACTCCAATTCTTTCTTCCAGATTTCTCGTAAATTGTCTATATTTATCTTTGTAAGATTCTTCAATTGTCAGTAAAATGGGATAGTTGGTTTTAGCCTCTAAAATATTTTTGGCTAATACACTTAGAATTATAGAAGTTGTTCAGGCCACTAAGGAAATCAGCAATGTTTGAACTGAATATGTATTTTCAGCAGTTTCAGGCAAGCTGTATTCTTTTTGTAATGTGCCAAGCAAGGTAGAATTAGCAATAAGTTGGTCTAGGGCGTTAATCTCATTTTCAGCCCTTTCTTTTTTCCCCAAGAAAACTAAAGTTTCCCAACCACTTTTAACTAGGAACCATTCCACAGAGCCTGACAGAAAGGATTAGATTTAAATCTCTTTCCTAGTAACGTTCAAATGCTGCCTTTAATACTGGAAGTACAACTAAATTCTGACTGTAATTGGAACCAAATACTTCCCAAGATTTCAAAGATCTGAATAATAATGCTCCAATTTTATCCGCAATGGTATATTTTCAACACCGTTTTTGTTACAAAACAAGACAAAAGCCCATGTGTGTCGGGCTATATAGCAATCACACTCATTAATACAATTAAGTCTTGAAAATTTTCATTGGAGGAGGAGGGCCACAATTTAGAAAGACAGGAGCCTGGCCTTCCATAAAAAGTGTTCACTTTTTGATGTGTCTAATGTACAAGTATAATTAATATAGACGTCCATCTTAAAGTATATAATTAAAATTCATGGATATTCTCCACCATCTGTTGGCATAGTTATTAATCCGTGTTGTACAATTTAAAACATTTATTTCTTAAATTTGTTACCCGCCACAATAAAGTGACTCTGATGCCTTCAGGGGTAGTCCCACCCCATCAAGAGACAGCCCTGGGGATGTTAGAAACCTGCGATGGGTAAACAGTAACTCCATCTTGTCCCACTGTGGTCTCTGGCTGATCCATCAAGTCTCCAGCCTCCAAGCTGGCCAACGATCAGCCATCTGGGAGAAAATCAATAGGACTGGGTGAGTCCAGGGACAGGGGCCTGGTCCAGGCAGACCAGGGTACCTATTCCCAGAATGCTTTGTCCCTCTGCCGAGCTCCTCAAGAAGCAAGGGAGGCAGTGCCCTCAACTGAGCGATGCCTGCATCTGGCCTATTTAAGAAGAGCCACCAGCGGCCAACTCTTTGTTGATAACAATTCGGATCTGTGTTTTCGTACCCTTGTTTCCTACTCTGCCTCCAGAATCTCAGTTCTTCAACTCAAACTGGCTGACTCACCTCCTCCTGTCGTGGACTACGTTTGCTTCATCTGACTCTGGACTGAACTCTTGGGCAAGATCATGCTCCTTCCTATTTTTCCCAAGATGTCCATACACCTGTGCTGCTGCCTTTGCATTGCTTTCTACTCACTAGTTGACCCCTTGTAAATCAAGCCCATCTGTGCTCTGTCTGAAATGGGACAGGTCCAACTTCAGGCTGTTTTGCCCAATCCAGAACTTCAAAGCTCCAGGCACCAGATCAAGGCACAGACAGCCTGGGCAGCTGGGGTAGAGGAGTACAGCTGGGAATCATCAGCATATTGATGAAACTACACCCCAGTGGATTCAGGTATATACTTAAAAGTAGAGGAGAGAGGACAACAGCCTGCGGCACTCCACAAAGAAGAGGCAACCTGGTTGATTTCTCTCCTCCCACAAGGACCAACTAGAACCACCCACTGAGGAAGGTATGAAACCACTGTAAAACAGAGCCTCCAATCCCCAGCCCTTGCAGGTGGTCCAGAAGGATACCATGGTCAATGGCTGCTGAAGGGTCCAAAAGAACCAGGAAGTTCCATTTCCCCATTCAGGTTATGAAAAAGGTGACCAATGTTGTTTTGGTCCCATGGCCAGGCCAGAATCCTAACTGAAAAGGGTTATGTTAATCAGCTTCCTGTAAGGGTTCTCCTTAACTGAACAATGGCTACAGTCCCAGTAACTTTTCCCAGGGAAGGAAAGTTAGAGGCTGGACAATTGTTATCAAATACAGAAAGATCCAATGAGAGTTTTCTATGGATGGAGGAATATCTCAATGATTTTTAGGACTGCTGGTATCATCCGCTCTCACAGTGAGGTATCGACTACATCTCGGATCCAGTCTGTCACAACTCCTCCACACCCGCTAAGGAGCCATGAGGGGCAGGGATCAAGGGGTTGAAGACAACCAAAGGAACACCATACCCATTCATCAGAGTTCACAGCAAGAAGTGATCTCAGATAACATAGACCTTGTCCTCATCACTACAATGGATTCAATCCACAAAAAATTGTCTTGGGTGAATCTAAGTGACTTTATTGGCAAACTACTCTGCCAAGTGTTTACAGTGGCTAGTTGGGAGATCTGTGAGGTGTCCCTTCCATAAAGGGAGCTGGCCACCTTAAACAAGCCCACCAATGCATTGAAGAGGAAAAGCCATGAAGCTGGATGTCCCTTATCATCATAATGTAGACGCATACTTGAGCTTAAACCTGTGTTTGGTCAGAGTAACATTTTGTCTTTCTCTGCTGGCATTCCAAGTTCTTCTGCTGCTGCTCCTTCTCCAAGAGGATCTTGGTAGTCTTCAAAGAGTCCTGGATCAACTTGCCAGAAACCATCAGAATCCATGAGACATCTATGGAAGATCTGTTTGTCCTGTAGAGGCCCTTGGGTAGCAGCCAATCTTAACTGGACCAGGAAGTGATAAATATTCACATCTATTAACGAAGGTATTTTTCTTGGAATTATTATCCACAAATATTTAAGAGATTCCAGATAATACACAATAAGATTCTAGCAATAAGTCCCATTCTTTTATAGTTTCCATAGAGACCCTATTATCGACAGACAGCATAATAGTTTTGTTCCAATTAATTGGAATGGGTGTTATTGTTGAATAAGCTCCACAAAATTCAACAAAGAGCTTTGATAATTATTAATAGGGCCTAAAATATATCTTCATATGATAACAGCTTGTATTCACCAGTCACCTGGCTGAACTGTGCATCTCTGGATTGTCTGATAGGACAAGTGAAAAGTTCACACACCAAATGAAATGTAAGAGAAGATGGACATCCTTGACAAGTTCCATGATGCATCTTAATTAGTGGGGAAATAATTGCATTCAATCTTTTTTGCTTTTACATCTACATCTACACGTATCCTTCAGGTTTCCTTGTGGTCAATTTGTAAAAAAAAAATTTCATCTCAGATCACTAACGTCTCATGAAACAGTGATATTGTTCAAAATATAAAACATGAACGTTTCATAGTGGAAAGAGTGAGGAACTCCATGCCCACCAGATTCAGCTAACCACAATGCCTTTTGGAACATCATACCTCACCCCCACTCCCAAAATTAGATTGGCCCCAACCCTGCCAGCTTTTCGAAAAACCTTGAAGACCTGGATATGTTCCCAGGCATGGCGGTCAAATGGTTTGTGGAGGCCCGTGAGGTGGTGCTTTAATTTATTGTAGAATGGTTTCTTAACTTGGTGGCCATTATATATATATGGCAGTTTTTCTGTTGGTATTGTCACCCAGAGTTACTGTGGTTGACATGGGCGGCCATATAAATCAAAGAAATAAATAAGGATATAAGTTTGAGACAACCCGGTAAGCTGATTCAATTTTGACCGAGTAAACTTTTAAGGAAAACAGCTCACCAAAACCTTTTTCCATAACAGCCTCCAGAAGCTGCCCACGTTGCCCTATAGGGAAGGTTCAAAATTCTGAGTGTTCTCCTGCATAAACGGCCTTGGATTTGAGTGAGTTCATCCTGGCACGTTGCCATCTCCTTTGATTGTGTTTGGATTCTGATTTCATGAGGTTCAGGTATCAATAAGCCCCTGATCTAGTATATACTTTGTTTATAGATTGTGGTGTAGCAAATATCTCAACATTTGATACCTCTCTTGGCTAGTTCCAGATGGACTCTCAGGTGTCAATGGAGCTGCTCATTAAAGCACCCAAATCAGGATTGGTCAGTAAAGCAAAGATAATTGGCTCTTTAAGAATCACAGATAATTTTTTTCTTTCTCAGATGAGGGAGCTCTCCTAAAAGATTCTAGCAATAAATAGGCACCTCACTGAGGTTTTTTTGTTTCTTTTTACTGCATGTACCTGAGCAGTAAATCTCCAGGTGGTTGCGAGATGACAGCAAAGAGATGTACGAAATGCCAACTGTTTCTTGTCATCCAGTGGACTTCCGCCATCCAGAATTGGTAGTCCTGGGCCATGCAAGGAGAAAGGAACAGTAGCTGATTCTTTATTAGCAAAAACTCTTTGGATTTGACATGAAAATCTAATAGGTTCGGTTAATGAAGCAAAGGAGCTAAACAAGTGTCCTCATTAAGCAAGATAGACAAGGCTGGGGAAAAATGGGCTAGGCAGGTATAAAATAAGATGGCTTTACGATAAAGATGTTAGTGTGGGTTTGGAAGGATACCAATGTAAAGGAATATTTGGCAGTGCAATAAAGTCATATTCTACATGAAAGATCTGCATCATTGTGGGTCACAATATCTATTCAACTCACCTATGTAGTGTTGAGAAGCTTCAGGGGCAACCTTTTATGCGATGTTTCCTTGTGAGCCTGGGAATTTTGTAGGGCTTTGTTTCGAAGTGTTTCTCATCCCTGGCAACTGGAAGATGTGTGGGTTTCAATTCCCAGAATTCCCCAGCTAGCAAGCAGGCTGGGGAATTCCAGGAACTGAAGTTAAAGTTGTCAAGGTCGAGAAACACTGGTTTAGAATATACTGAGCAAGAGGGAACTCTTCTTGATGTCAAGAAGAGTTAGCATTAGAACTAAATAGCATTTAATTTAATTTAATATGCATAAAGAATAATAAAGAATTTTCCATAAATATTCATCATGCATAAACTGTTCAGGGGCTGACATACTGTATAGGGTATGATAGGAACGTTATAAGTAAAGTGGCTTAATGTAGAAGAAAAAAAGGGGGAAATATTTTTAATATACAATAGAGATGTATTCAGCTTCATGTTAGAATAAATTTTCCTCCAGTGATTGTTAAATCTAAAATGGTGCATTGCTCCATTAGCATTTGTTATTTTACTGGATTTCCTGTATTTTGATTTATGGAGGAAATGGATTCCACATTTGCCATTAGAAACTAAAATATATCAAGATTATTTTAATAAGAACATAGTTCACAATTGCCAATGCATTAAAAAGCATTTTCTCTACTTTTTTTTTTAATACTGGTCATTGTTATGACTGTACTCAGACACGCAGCACAGTTTGACAAGGAATTAATTGCACTGTGCACTTAAATATCAGAGTTCTGCTCTGGTTCATCTCATAGCAATGTAAGGAGCCATGCATAATCGAAACTGATTTATTATGCGCCATCAAGTTGTTTTCGACTCCTAATGATCATTTAGATTTTCTCCATGATGATCTATCTCTAACCTGATATTTCAGGTCTCCCAATGGTACCCCCATTGCCACTGTGAGTCCATCCCCCTTGCTGTTGGTCGTCCTCTTCTTCTCTTTCCTCCCTTTCCCAGCATTAGCGTTTCTCCAGAGAGCTGGGTCTTTGCATCATATCTCCAAAGTAGGATAGTTTGAGCCTGGTCCTTTGTGCCTCAAGTGAGAACTCTGGGTTGATTTGTTCAAAGATGCATTGATTTGTTTCCTTGGTTGTCCACGGTGTCCTCAGGAGTCTTCTCCAACCCCAGAGTTCAAAGGCATCAATGCTCTTCCTATCCTGCTTCCAACTTTAGCTTCCATAGAGGGTCCCAGGGAACACCATGGCTTACACAATTCTGATCTTTGTAGGCAGAGACACATCACGGCATTGGAGCATCTTCTCCAAGGCCTCCAAGGCTGCTCTACCAAGTCTGTGGCGTCTTTCTTGACTGCTTGTTCCTCTCCTGTTGATGGCTGATCCTAAAAGGCAGCAGCTGTCCACCGCTTCGATATCTTCACGGCCAATTCTAAGGCTGGTCATTCTACCTGATGTCCTTACTGTGGTTTTCTTTATATTTTAGTCTCATTTTTTTCACTTTGCAGGTAATGTAGTTGCAGCTGGTGTTTTTGACTTTAACTGAATCATCATCATCAATCTGACCTGAGGTGGAAAGATGATTTCTAAGCTGAAATACTCTAATAAAATAAGAATACCCCTCCCCCATATGAACCAAAGCTGTTAATAGGAAAAAAACTACTGTTTTCATATACAGTGACATAAGATGGGTAAGAATGAAAAACTATAAAATAGAAAACCATATTGAACAGTCGTACGTATACAGTACAATCCTATCTGAAGTTAAACTCTGTTGAGTTCTATTCAGCAGATTCCCAGATAGATCAACATAAGATTGCAGCTTAAGCGATGGCCGTCAATCATTCATTCCAGCTCCAGGAATTTCCTAGTTCCCTTTTACCTGATCTGAAGAAGGATCCTGATTGCTGAAGTGAACAGCTTGTGTTAGGAAATGGAGAAGAGGCGCTCCTTCCCCAGGCTCTGTGGTTTTTGACCACGGTCAAAACTCTTTACAGCTAGATGGAGCTGTGTCCGAGGCAGAGTCTAGGCTAGGATGAGGCAACTGAGATAGCTCCCACCCTGGCTGGACCACAGGCCCCGCAAGGTGGTGCTAAAGAGTTAGCAGATTCTTTTGCCAACCCCAGAGCTTCTCTGCAATTGGACCCAGCCCCTCCCTTACGGTTGTAAATGCCCACATGGAACTTCTGGCAAAGCAGCTTTGAGATCTAGGTCAAGATGTCATCAGGAGGTTCACATCCCATAATATCAGCTCAGCCTCCTACTTTCATCAGGTCTGAAACAATTGGGGCTGCTTAAATAGCATCGTTTTGGGACCTAGTTTAATGTCCTGCCCTTACCTTTAAAGTTCTACATGTGTTTGGACTTGGATATCTTCAATATGGTCTTCTTTAAGTCTTCTTTCTGGAAGTCCAACTAAGTGGTCCTCACCTATTCATGATATTCTGGGTGACTGTGAGGACCTTGTAAATCATGGCGTTGACACTTGAGCCTACCCCCACCCAACACACACACTTAGCAAGTTCTGATCAGTGAAATCATGGAGTTCTTGGTCCAAGAATGTCCCTGTAGAGTTGTGCTGCATTAGCAGATCCGCTAAAAAGGAAGTGTTTCCAAGTGTGTCAGGCGCTTAAGCCAAGTTTTTGCTCTTCTGGACACACGGCTCGTGATATCTCTTGCAGATTCAGCAGTAATTTGCTGATGGGGGTCAACTCTGAAGAAAGCAGGTTGTGATGATCAACCAGAGATCTATTTATTCCAAATAGATGGTGCAACCAGATTGGCTACAATTTATTTTTGCAGACACACTTTTTCCCCCCGGGGTCTGCACCCTGGGGAACACACAGGCCTGACTTCTGGATGTGTTGGGGATGGGATGTCCTATCCGTTCTGATTAAACCAGATACTTAGTTAATTAGGTTCTCCTATGACTTTGTAACCCTTGGGTGGTTCTCTCCCCAGTCGCTTTTGTTACCCTTTGCCTTGAATTTCAAGCCTTGGAATAAAAAGAGAAACGTAAAGGAGGGCTTCTGGAGCGGCGCAGGCGGAGGGGTCCCGCTCGAAACCCGGTCCGGCCTCATCGGGGCGACCGTACTGGGGCAAACTAGGCCGACGCAGGCAGGCCGCTCTCTCGGAAGCCAGCTTGCTGCTCCCCGCGTCCATTTCCAGCTGAGAAAGCCATCCCCTCCGCGCAGCTGGTGGAAGGCGGAAGATGAAGGGCCGGAGGGTGATGGGAAAATGGGGAGTGGAATGTTTGTTTTGGAAAGGCCGGAGCGCGACGCCGCTCCGGTGCGCATCCAGCGGGGAGAGCCGGCGGGACCGGGCCGGTCCCCGGCCCGCGGCTG